AAAACTATTAAATATAAACTAAATAAACGTGCATTGCACGTTGCTTGCACCTAGTAGTATATAATGTCCCTATATTTCACCGTTATTACGAAAAACGTCACCACCTTTCATTTTTTTGGCATTTTCACCCGTCATTCTTTTATTCTTATTTAAATAGGATATTATATTCGTTATTTCACAACTTTTTATTGAGAAATTGGATGAAAATGGATAGAAATTGTGGTTTACACAATCAAATGTGTAATTAAGGGTAAAAATGCCAAAAAAACAAAAAAGGAATAGTCGTTTTTCTCAATAACGGTGAAAGATAGGGACATTGTGTATTAATTACTCTTTTAATACTTTATTTGTGACTTATTTGTGCTTTTTAAAAAAATTTGGGTTGTGATTACATTTAATTTTTCTTTTTGTTTTTGTTTTATTTAGAGAGAGAGATGTATATTTATCATTTCATAATTTTTAATTGAGAAAATAAGTAAAAGTGACCTTTTGCGTAATGAAATATGAAAATAAGGGCGAAAATGTTAAAAAATGAAAAGTATGAACGTTTTCACAATAACAATGAAAGGTGGGGACGTCATGTGTTAATTACCCTTTTATAAATTATTTTGAGAGGAAATATTCTCATGCTTTATTACATCTTTGGAAGTGTTAATGAACGTTTTAAATTAAGGCATATTACAAACATCTTTCTTGAAGTTTCGAATAATTTCAACTTTCAAGTATACTTTTTCATTTTTTAAAAATTATACAAATCTCTTTTATTTCAAATTTTGAACAACTCATACATCTCGTTAGATTTATGACAATTTTAAATAAATTACTTTTCGTTTCAAAAGTTATACAAAACATACCTTATTTCGTATTCTGAAATGCATTTCTTCATTGATTACTTTTCTTTCACATGTTAGCATAAATAATAATGATAATGTAAAAATATTATTACGAACGTTATTCTATCTTGTGGCTCATTAATAATAATAATGTAATACTTAAAACACTCTTTCAACACTTCTAAGTAAACTAAAAACAAAGTATTATTATTATTATTTTTTTAAATACTCTTATTTGAGATACTGAAAATAATTATTAAAATCACTATGTTTGGATAGTTTATAAATATTTATAAATTGATCAAACTTCATTTTCAATAACACATTTTCGATGAATCCATAAGTACTATACATTTATCCATCATTCATTTCTATATATTTGTGTATTATGCAGTCTATAAATTCTTCTCAAACATACCAAATATATTGAAGGATTTTTGAAGAATATGATCTAAATAAAGGTTTGATGTTGATTTTTAGTTAGAAGTGTCTAAAGGGTATTGTAAGTGTCATATTAATTTTAAAGGAGCCACAAAATGGCCAAGAAAGTTCACAAGTCCATCTTCAATATAATAATGTGAACTGTTATTGTTAGAGATATATAACTTTGTTTTAGATCCAAATATGCAAAATAACCAATAAAAACAACGAGTCACATATTTGTTGTTTCTAGATAATTAAGGTTATATGCAATTTAAACCTTAAGTTAAACAATCACAAACGTATAGATAAAAGGCATAAAAAAAATATATCAAAAATTGATGACGGGGGAAAATTCCTTGAAGAGCTATTCATAGTGATAAAAAAATCTTTCAGGTCAACCTTGTCAAAAATATCCAACAGAAAAATAAACTCACAATTGGTTTAGACACTGTTATTCTATAACTAACTTTGACCACATAACTTATAAATCACCAAAAAACTCTTTGATTGTGTGATCCATACTTCATAGGAACTCTGGGCTGCTTCCCAGCAAACCTTGTCAAAAAGACTCACTAGAAAAATTAACTTACAATTGGTCCAAACCCTGTCAATCTTTAACTAATTCTGACCACCCAACTTGTAAATCACTGAAAAACTCCTTGATTGTGCGACTCATACTTTCCAACAACTCTGAGCTATTTTCTATCTGTGTAGATCATCAAGAACGAACTCATTTTGGAGCGCGGAACTCCAAACGCCCCTTCTTCCAATTTCAAAACTCTAAACGCTTGTAGGTGAATATAGGGATTTTTAATGTTTGGTCTAATGATCTTTTGTATTTTGATCTTTCGTTGAATCAAGAGAATGATGGAGGGCGTATTTGATGTTCAAATGATGTTCTCTTGTATGAAACAAAGGTCCAACAAATGGCGAAATAATATTCGGAATAATTATCAAGAATTAATCTTGTGATTGAATCAAGAAGTCTTTTGGAATATGTTAATGATGATCAAGAATGTGATCTCTAGTATTAAAATAATGATTCAACACACTTTAAGACGGACTTATGCTTGGATATATACATTAGGTAGTGTTTAAGGTTGAATATGATACCTTTTGTCGAAATTTTAACGCTTTAGGACTTTTCCGGATGACTATACCGCTCGAGTGCCACCTTGTGCCTATCAAGCACCGTGACACTGTTTTAGGCGCTTGTGCATGTCATGTGTGTTCAGCGAGCAATTTTGTTTCGATTTTTTCTCCTAGGTCCATATTTGACATCTTTGAATCCTTCAAATCCTATACTATCAATCTATAACTATTTGGACTTTAATTACAACACAATAACACATGATTTTAGACACAGGAATAACCAATTACAATTTAGACCTAACAGTCATAAATGTTGGAAGCAAAATGGGAATGATGAGAATAGCATCTCCAATGAAATTGCACTAATTGTGGATCCACATGTACAAGAGAGATGACATAGAAAATGCATAGAGATATAAAAAATTAAATGGTCACATTTTTCAATGAGTATAAATTATAAAAAATAAAGTGGACGATATTTAGCACACCTTTCATAGGTAGGTGGTGTGCTAAACATCCTACACTTTTTTCCTTGTTATGTAAGCATTTTAGGGTAACGAGATACTCTACCATTTGTCATTTAAAACACCATCAATTTTTTCATTTAATATTTTTCTTCCACATCAATTTCGGTAATCGTTATGTACATTTTTTATGTACAAGTAGTAAAATCCAATTTATAAATGGATTGATAACAGAAATAGTAGTGGTTTCAATGAAATGTGTGGATAATAATGAGTAGTTGTAGCCCTATTTGAGCCTCATTATTCTCAAAACTCATTTTTAATCGCACATTCTCCCATAAAAAAAATTTTACACGTAAATCCAAAACTTTTTCTTATTTCTAACAATATATGCTACAAAAGAAAAATCAGTGTTCCAAAATACATTATTCCTAAAAAATGGGGCTCAAATAGGGGCATGAATGTGTGATTAAAATTAATATTTTACTTTGACTTGATTTATAAATCAATTTATAAATTGTATCTAAACTATGGCCAATTATCACCAATTTATGCTGTAATGGGGCTCCACCGTTCATTGTCTTAAAATGCAGTATGTGAATTGCCATTTGGGTAGCATACAATCAGGAGAGGGAGAAATATAGAGAAACTTAGGCTGTGTTTGATATGCCACATTTTTCGGAGAAGTAGGAAAATATTTTCCATTTTTCACTTTTTTGGTTGTTTGATAGGCGAAATTTTTCACGGAAAATATTTTCCAGACTTTCCCCACACGTTTGGAATTTCCGAGTTTTTGATGAAAATATTTCCCCGCCTTTTTGGTGGGAAAATATTTTCCCGGCTGGCTGGAAT